TTTTCTGGTTAAATAAAGGCTAAGGCTTTACCGAACAGCCACCATGTTATTCACGTAGCAACACGGACGTTGTTCAGAAAACGGAGTCATGTAAACGTGTAGAGGAGTATTACTGGCAAATGTATAAGTAAGCCTGAAAAATAATTTTTAAAAACTTTTTTGTGTGGCTAGCCGTTAGCCAAGCCTGGAGGAGGATTTCTACCCTCCACCTCCACGGACAGCACGGCAGCTTGGTGGTTAGCGCTGTTGCCTCAAAGATGGTCCTGGGTTCAAGCCCCAGGTTGCACCTGGGGTCGGTCTTCCTTCAGGCTCTGGCCTCAATGGGACTTTTCTGGTTAAATAAAGGCTAATGCTTTATGATCGATGTCACAGCTGATAAGCTACTGACTATTGAAAATTGACTAAACTCTCCAACATTCTATTAGACACCTGTATACACGATGCATAGAGCCATTCTCAGACATCGACTCACGCTTTGTGCAGTCCGGGCCCATCCAGCCATCCAGGCACACCTGGGCCCCAGAAGGCTCGCAGCGATAGTGGCCGAAGTAGTCGTTCCGAGGAACGCACAGCTTGTTGCACTTGTTCCCATAGTAGTTCTCGTCACACCGCACCTGGATGCGATAAACGAGACGCGCCACCGGTCCGTCATATAGGAGCGTCTGCCACGGATCGCCTGGGTTGACCATGCCGGCGTGGGTGCCGCGCTCGATCAGGAGCTCCTCCCCATCTGAAACAAGATGAAGGCGGGTCAAGGATGGTTTATTCTGAAGGAATTCCAGTTAAAATGAACAATATTCAGGTTACTTTACTTCCTATTGAATAGTATAGCTGTAAAGTATATTAAAAATAATAATAGTGTAGTTACACCCTTAGATTATTAGAACAAATACAGACTAGTTGTGTTTGTAGAAACGTGTGGAATGACTGAAGAATGCGCTCTTTGTTCTGTAAAAAAAAAATTACTTCTAATTTGTATGGTTTATTGACGCAGATGATTTGGACAAGCTTTAGAGTAATCTGGGAAGAAAAGTACAGGTATGAACACTTGGCTATTCATTTTCCAGTGAAACGTATCTGCAAATATTTAAATTCACTAAATCAGGACAGAGAAACGTTTAGTGTTTAAAGAGCCAGAAACGACCGACGGTTGGTCAAACCAAAACTGAAGATGAGCTCCAACCACGTTTGTTCATGATCAAAAGCAGCATTTTGAATGAAACCTAATCCTACATTAGAAGCAAGTTGACAATTTTAGCTGTTCAAATACTCAAAACTGTATCGACCAACACAAGTTTAATGAATCTTAGGCTCCGCCCACATAGGAACGCTGTTTTGTGGATGTGCAAATGTTTTTAAAAATTGTTTCAACATTAGGTTTACACAGAAACCGTTTTAAAACGTTCCGAAGAGGAAAAGAAAATTAAATCTTCGAACTTGGACAGCCTGAATGCAACCTAACCTACGACCGTTGACGTATCGACGGTAACAATAACAGATTGTACCGTATAACTTCCACGACAGACAGGCTGATGAACATTAATGCATCAAATTAACTAAAACCAAAAGTTAAAGTAATAAAATAAATAAAAACTTGGTGTTCAAAAATTTAGTGCGACACCCTGAGGAAAATCCTTTTCTTCATCTCTGGTATAATAATAATGTCCATTCGTTATGTCCGTAATGTCAAAGTATTTGGTTTCTAGTAAATAGTAGTTTAATGTGACAAAATTAGTAGTTTGACTAGTTCACTCATGTTTGGCCTTGCCATGGCCATCCTCGTCTCTTCCATTTACAGTTTAGAATGTCCGCTCCGCATGTCGTTTCCGTTTCGCGGTACATTTTCGTGGCAGCGTCACAGCGCCACACACAGGCCTGGCATAGCTACTACAGTACATAGTTCCGCTTACGTTTTGGGACGTTGTACTGCGTATGTATGGATGTGAATCTTTCCACAAACTGTGTCAATGAGGATATTTTTAGAAATGGCAAAACAGTTTCAGCGTTTCCCTTAGATTACCTCTGTAGCATTTTAGCTAGCTCATCTATATTGCATGCTACGCAAGTAGCGGCAGTTGTCGGGGGTGGGGGTGTGGAGGACAGTTCAATAGGCAGGGTGCTTGGTTCTATTGCCAGGGCGGGGTGTCCTTTTTGTATAATGGTAGGGGAAAACAGTTTTATAAAAGAAGTGTTCCCATGTTGACCAGGTTCTACTATTGAGTTACGTTAATCCAAATGCAACAATTCAAATAATTAAAAGTTTTGTTCCATTTAAAAACGGCTTTAAAAATACACAAATCTGCAAGCCTACCAAAGCCTTAATCTTAAATGAGTTGCTATAAGTGAGAGCAATGCATTTTATTCAGCGTAGAGATGTTTTCACATCATGGCACATGTGAAATTTAACTCCTGAACGTCATGAAATGTATCGTCTGAATTGGGGATGCACCGATCCACCTTTTTCTCATCGTTGATACCGATCCAATACCCATCTGATACAGAAAAACTGTGCTGAATTAACAAAAATCACTAAATCATCTCATCTGGACCCGTTTCTGAAACAAGTCCAGATGACACCCTTTAGCCATTTTTGTCGTCTCCCTGGATGTTTGAGTTTACAAACCCAGTGCTGAATTAACTTAAAACATTGTTTTTTGTTAAACGCAGACATGAATGTACTGAAATACAAATTTATTGAAAACTCTGCACCATAACAGCGCACTTAAACACACCACGAGCTTCACAAGCACGGTCAAACATGTAAAAACAACTTTAATTTGTTCGGTCAGTTCGCTAGCGCGTGACGTCACTCAGAGCACAAAACATAGAGTTAGAGTGAATAGATCCGCCCAGTCATGGATCGGTCACATTGTCACAATACCGGATCCAGAAATTGGTATCGGATCGGTGCCTCTAGTCTGAACTGATCCATTTTCTGGTGAAGGCGAATGAGCTTTAGAGGTGCATCGTCATGAAAGCATGTGGTACTCAGCCTAGGGCTGGACAATAATTCAATATCGATATATATCGCGATATACTTTTATTCAATAACGGTGATATGAGTTTTAAGCACATTTTCGATATTTTGATATGATTACAGTGATGCATTTCTTTTTCTGTTCGGGTTGAAGCGGCCGCTTCCGTTTCAACCCGAACAGAAAAAGCCGCGACACAACTACGCAAGTGCACGGTGACGTAGATGTTACGCAGAGCTAGAGTCCAGAAAGCAGATGACATAACTGACGAGAGAGGAAAGACCAATTGGGTGGTGTGGAAGTGGTTCGGCTCTCTAAGATCCGATAAACTGCAGGTTTTGCGCGCTGCAAAATGTGCCGGAGAGTCGTTCCAACTAGCGGTGGAAACACATCTAACTTGTTCCGTCTGAAGAGTTTCCACTCGATAGAAAATGCCGTGAGTCAGAAGACGAAGCGCAAGAAAAGTCTGAGCCAACGTGTCCCTGAAAACACCCCCAGCTTTATCAAAAGAGAAACACATGCAGCAGGTTTGCTGCGCGTGTTAAATTATGTCGTTGTTTAAAGTTAAAACTATTATTATTGACAAAGTTGAGAGTTTTACGTGTATTTTACGGTGATTTCAAATTTTTTAAGGCTAAATACAAATAAAAGATGAACATTAATTTATTTGTATAGATTTTCTGAGGCTTTTACATTGTTCATATCGATATCGGAATTATATCGTTAGACCGAAATTAAGAAATATATCGTGATAAAAGTTTTGGCCACATCGTCCAGCCCTATCTCAGCCTCTAGCACACAACACTTTCTGAAAAGGTAAGTGGGTTCAAAGCTGTGGAGTGGGCTTCACGATCTCATTTTCCACCACGGTTTTGGGCTCAGAGCTCCACAAAACGATTTGAAGCAGGAACACACACATGCATGCCCCTTCCTCTGCTGGGGACTTGCACAATGTCAGACAGAATTAAGCAACAACAACAGAAATAACCCTCGGCTGTTGCCAGATTGAGAACAATGGGCTCTGGGCCCGAGCCGGTCCCTGCTACCAAGTGTCTAAACACTGAGCCCGGTCGCCCAGTCCACTCCACTTCCTGTTCGATAAACAAGAAAAACAGCCAGCTGCCTTTCCTGAGAACAAGGGGGAAGGGGTGAGAGCCCCACCGAAGGACGTGACGCTGGACGAGAGGAATCTCACAGACACTGGTTCCTACGTAGAACCAGACAGGAGACCAGTGCTGACTCAGGGCAGCCATGATTAATCTAACGAGTCACACTTGTAACGGCTCGTCTTCAACGTTTACCTGCGCATGACCTCAGAACTCAAAATGGTTGGCTGGTTTTTGAAAATGTATAATTTTATATTCACTAATATAAACAAGAACGGCTGCCTGGAATGTCAAGAAACAACCCAAACAATGTCATTAAAAACATCCCTTTAAAGTGGCGTTTGCGGAGAAGCTGTGCACATTTAATATCTTACCTGTTGTAGATGTCTCTTTGAGTGACCTCCGTTTGGATAAAGTTTAATTCAGACCAGACTGATTGCTAGTCAAAGCGGGGCCAAGAATAAAAAAAGATCATGCTTTTGCTGGAATAACAGTTTAACGCAAACCTGACATCAGCGTCGAGGTTTGTTAAACGTTTGCGTGAACCAAAGTTACATTTTTAAGATTGGAATTGTTTTAAATAGGCAGCAATTCACTTAAGAGCTTGGCCTTGCTCAGACTAGCCATTAGCTCTTATAGAGTCATAACTACTGTGCTTTTGGCGTTTAATGTAGTCGTTTAAAAAGCTATCTACAACAGGTAAGATATTTATTGTTAAAGTCCCTAAAACTCTACTTTAAAACAGATCACAACTTTAAGAACAATCAATCATTTTTAATTTTATTATTTGGGCCATGTTTTGTAAATTTTAACAATTTCCGCAATAAGATCCCAACAAAGTTGAACTTTTCACTGAATGCTCTGAATATTCTGAACACAAAAGTGTGTTTGTTCTGCAGGATGAAAAAAAAAAAATTAATGCTATTGAGAAAGAACCACATCTCCCCGAGACTAAAGCAAGAAAAAAAAAAACATGCCTGGACACATGCACACTTCTTAGTTCAACCATACAAGCCCATTTAACGTCCCTAGGGTAAATGTTAGCTTTACAGAAATAAAAATCTTAATTTTTCTAAGAAGTCTTTATTAAATGTAAATCTGTCAATATCGTTTCTTCAGACGTGTCTGTCTCATGGTTTTTTTTTTTTTAAACAAAATGGCTCATTCTGACGACATTAATGTGGCCAACTGCAGAGAACCCTCTCAAATTATTGACCAGAAGCATCAACTATAATTCTGTGGTTTTAATAAAATAAATATCAGCGTTCGAGCAGAGAATAACTTTCATTCCTCAAAAACAAAAAGGCCTACAAGAGCCAGAAAAAACTTTAGAACTCAATTTAGTTTTCAGTCTAGCTCAAAAAATATATTAGCTTAATCCATTTGAAAGTTAAATTATCTCAATTTTTAAAAGTAATGTACCGATTTCTTCTAATAAAAACGTCAACGCGAGATATTCAGGTTGTGTGGTTCATTGCAGGATTTTAACAAAAAATGAAGTTTGCTGTAAAACAAGAAATGTTTGAAATGAAAATTTTAAAGACTGTATGTGTGGAATAAGCGACTCCGTTATTAACCAAACAAATAATCAAATTTAGGCTCAACTTTGCCAGAATATGAAAATAGTTTAAAGCCCATCACCTCAGTGATGAAGCTGCTGAAAGCATCAAGGTTCATGCTCAATAATCCAGGTAAAAAAAAAAATAAATCCAACAGGTATGCTGAAAGCAGTTTAGCAAAAGCCGTGATCCAAACAGATACGAGAAACGGCAGCGTCATGAACATTAAAAGGGACACGCACCGTTTTACAATAATGTTGCACTTTAGTTTGGGTATTAACTATGAAATACTGGAGTTTTTTATAAGTTCACATGAAGTACTTTTACAAAAATTCAACCCTCTTTCATATTAAACATTTTGAATGCAAGAATAAAAATGGAGTTCTATCATAAAACGATAAAAAAAACAGGAGAAAAGTAGGAAATATAACATTTCATAGGACACACAGGTTCTCCCCAGATGCTGAAAGGAGCTTTTGTTTCTGAAACCCATGACATGAAGTCTGAAAATAACTGCCTTTATGACAAAAACACTGGCCTCGTTTTAAACTTTTAAATATACGAATTAGAAATTACATAAACCTCCCCGAGCTAGGATAAAAACGAAAAAACAGCTCATTTGTCTCACTGCAGTAACGTATATCTTTTAAAAAGTGACAAAATGTGTGTAAAGAGCCTTGTAAGCTTGGACCAGAAGCACATTCATTTAATGTTTTTACAGAAACTTGGCTGGAAGTTGAATGCGAGTAGCTGGAAGGAAGTCAACTGGAATGTTTTTAGGCAATCATTTCTGTTTTAGATCCATCAGAGCAGCAAATGTACACAATTAATGTGACAAGAGACAACACGGGGATAATCAAAGAGCCATGATGTCAAAATCTAAATTCTTCTCGATTGTCTTCGCTCATGAGTGGAAGTCTGTTTGATGGTGTGGACAAAACAGGATACAGTGACCTCATAAACAAGGCAGAAGGCTGGGAGAGAGCAGACAATGTGAGGCAAAATTAATACACAAAACCTGTGCAACACACTAAATGCCATCACCTCCACAGATCAAAAGCTGCATTCAGACTTTCAGATATTCTGGTCAATGAGAGCTCTTCGTCCAAGACGAAGCTGCTGCACAGACGGGATCTTACAGGAGACCGCCAGGCGGGCACAACCCAAGGAAAACAGGAAGCAGGTGGTCAAAAGTGAATACCAAAGCCAACAAAACTAAAAACCAAGACGTACTGGAAGAAGGTGTGTGAAGATCACGGCACGAAAGATGCATCACCCAAAAACATAGAGATAAAAACTTGTAAGAGCCAACTCAGAGATCCATCTTGTCCAGGTCCTAAAACCTCAGGAGCTGAATATTATACTATATGAAAAGCCAACGTCGTAGATATTCGCTCTGGAGCCAACGTCATTTAAATTAGCCCAAGAAACAATGTCGAAGATTTTCACTCAACAGCCAACGTCGTATATATATTCACTCCAGAGACAACGTCGTATATACATTCACTCCAGAGACAACGTCGTATATACATTCACTCCAGAGACAACGTCGTATATA